AAAAATTTCGGAAAAATCGAAAATTTTTTGTTGTTGTTTATTATTAGCAATGTTCTTCCGACGTCTGATTTCTTTTTAAAAAATGCGTTTCTAAAGTGCATAAACTCTTGGGATTGACTGTATAGCCAATACATCCTTAACAAAAACTATTGGGATCGCATGTTTCTCTTGTGTTTTCAACGCAGTTCGAGCGGACCCAATTAGCTTTTGTTCGGAAACGTTGCTTCGTCAGAATCCGTGGCTACGAGCCATGTACTCTTACTATTATTCGCAGCAACTGTTTTTCGTTTCGTTGACTGGGACTCGCAGACCGATTCGCCAAGTTCTGGATGTCAATCATTCAATTGTAATCAACGTGAGGCTTAGACTGGTTACGTATTTATAGAGTTTATTATCTAGAGTACAGATGATGCACATTTCTAGAAGTCATTAACCGCGCGCGACAAATGCGTTTCACCTCGTTGACTCTTTCTTCTCTTTCTCGAGGGAATAAAGAGAAGACAAGGGCACGGCGTGGAGCAACGTTAACGAACGTGCATGGCGGAGGGAAAGGGTGACGGAGGACGAGAGGGGACTGTGAAAATGTGCGTTGAACGAGCATCGAAGACGATGTTAAGCGAGGATCGGCTGATAAGTTTAACGGCGCTTGGTGATGCGCCAAAAAAGATTTAAAGGGAGCAAGACGGCGGTGCGGCGCCCGTTTAGCATCGCGAAATTGGCATCAGTCACGTAGCTCGGATGAATTCGAGAATAGGATCGATTCAACGTTCAATCATTGCAACAAGCGCACCTGGAGAAAAACGAGGAACACCCTGCACGACCATTAGTCACGAACTCTCTGCGTGCCAGGATCCTGTCCTTAAAAGGGACCTAATCATTGGCTTTAGAATTAATTTTACGTTAATTGAATCTCGACTGTATTTAGCATGAACAGGGAACTTCCCTCTATTTTCGATACCTTATTTCGTTCATGTTTATTATTTTTAAAGTCATGGTAATTCAATTGCATATAAATTGAAATTTTCATCATTTTACTCAATTAGAAATAAATATACGTTAACTGAAATGATAATCAAACATAGTGACTATAATTCTTACTTCTGCGTACTTATTATTTAAGATATACAATAAAAAAATCCTCGAAATTATTTCAACTTTAAAATATTCTTAAGAATTGTAATAAAAATTACAAGATTCTGTCATTGTTGCATTCACATTTTTTTATAAATGAAATTCTGTCATTCGACGTAAGAATTCAAGATGTACTATCTATTTTAATAGGCTCGTCAGATTTCTAAAATTTTCTACAGTGTTTTATTAATGTAATATTTAATAATCGTTAAAATCTCAATGCTTTGTCATTGTTTTTATGTAAGCGTTCATTCAATCTTAATTAGAATTCTCTTTATCATTTATGATTGATTTCAATTTGCACAATGCAATCGATAGGACTGACGCGTAACTTCATCGACAGCTCGTCTTTTATCCGGGATCCGAGGAAAAGCTCGAATAGGTTCAATCGTAAGCCACGGGGTACGGGTTAGGGAGATTCGAACTGTCACAATCGTAAACGTGATCGTGCAAAATTCGGGTACTGATGTTCAGCACGTAAATGTCAAAGGTAAAGTTGCCAGCACCCGATCGATGCAATAGTGTTTCTCGTTTCTGTGATCGAATCGGTGACTGGGTCCAAGAGTCGTTAACGAGGGTAAAAGGCTAAAGAAAGAGAGACTCACGTGTGGGGCATTGGGGATTCGTTCAAATCCTCATCAGTTAGAAATGACTTAAGGGAAGCCTCGACTTTGATGAAATACCTCCCGGTATTAAGTTAACGGTGTCTGCCCCAGTAATTATGGAAAGTAAGAATTTCTGTGCGTCGCCGATAATTCGTACAAATTACAGATTCTAAGAACTCGAATTTATGCGTTATAACGAGGAGGTTGAAGTAGTTGATCGTTTGTGTTTCAGGTACAAATGTAAGATCGCCTGGGAAGACCTCTCCGACGGGGTTGATTGGAAACAGAGACGGGGCAGGGATCGGTAGGACCATGAAGGAATACGAGGATCAATTAGAGGCGCTCAAGAAGGAGAACTTCAATCTTAAATTGAGAATTTATTTTCTCGAAGAGCGGATGGGAATCACATCCGCGGATGAAAATGCGATAAAGAAAAACATTGAATTAAAGGTTCATAGATTCTCATTTATTATCTATACTTTTATTCAAAACGATCCGACTTCAGGCTTAAAATTGAGTTATCAAAGTACTCGAATTATGATTATATTAAAGTTTCCCATTGAAATTAGAAAAGATTTTTCATTTTCATGTTAGGTTGAAATCGAATCGTTGAGGAAAGAGTTGGTTGAGAAGCAGGAGCTTCTCAGTCAGGCAGCCAAGGCGTTCGAATTAATTGAAGAACAGAAAGAAACTTCTTCGCGGAATCAAGCTCAGTACCAACAATCGCTTGAGAGTGAAAGGGAAAAGATTAGGAAACTCGAAAAAGGTGAGTTGCTTAATGTACTTTCTTTCATAATGGCAAAATTAATACTGAACACCTGGACTCGTCAATAATAACATAGTAATTTCAAATAAAAAGTACCTAGCACAAACATTAATACCTTAACATTCAAAAATATTAAAGAATTACTGAAAAGACATTTACATCTATTTACAATTAAATTATTACGTAATACGACGTGTGCATAATCTTAATACGTAAAGATATTAATTCTGAGTTTCTTCGAACAATATAACACTCGAGAAGTCGTTCGTCAGCACGTAACAGTGCATCTGTTTTGATAAACCCATGCGTCGCGGCTATAACTAAATCATTGCTGCACTAAATTCTTTCTTTGATTTATAAACTCCTCGCCTTTCGCTCGGTTGATTTATACACGGCGCGATGAAAATCCTTTACTGGTGTCTGTTGCGACAGAATTAGCGGAATACCAGGAAAAGGTAAATGATGCATCCATCTACTATAAGGAAGCTTTCGGCATTACGCCGGAAAAGGCGCTGGAGAACGAGGAGAAACTGCATCAAATGGAAGAACTCGTAGCATCACTAGAAGCCGAGGTAAGTCACGAACAGCTGCTTTTTTTTATCTAGTAAAAGTTCAGACCCGATTTCATTTAACAGCAGAAATTCTCAGCTGGTCTACTTGGTTTCCTTTTGATAGGCATTTGTAGAGTTCCAACGTTATCTTTGGTCACTTCCTTTAGCTACCACACAGGAATGCGTACGCGATAAGCGGCATTTGCTCGGAAAAAAAAAATCAGTATGCTTTCGTCGGTGGACGAGTGCTCATTTCTCGCTTATATATTTTTACTTCTTTAATTTTTGTTCGTTTAAATGCTGACGCGAACAATCGTAACGCAACGTTATTCGTAAACCGGCGTAGGTGAAACAGGTGACGAGTAGCTTGGACGAGGAACGGATTTGGGCGCAAGAACTCGAGAGTGAGCGTGATGAATTCAGGGAACGTTTAGAGGCTGAGACACGTTTGAGGGAGAATTTGGACGCGGAGAGGCTGCAAGACATTGAAGCGTTGCGGGACAAAGTAAAAGAGCTGGAGGAACAGATGCTGAAAAGGGACACCGTCATCCAGCAGTGTAGAAACGAGCTACTCGAGAAAGAAAGGGTCATTAAGGAAAAAAATACGCAGCTGGATGAGAAGTGTCGCATGTACGAGGAGGTAAACGCGGTCTCGGAAAAAAGGAAAAAGCAAGTCGATCAGTTGAGGACGTCTATAAAAACCAGGGACGATGCCCTCACGGATCTGAACAACAAACACCGTGCCTTGCTCTCTCAGGTGATACAATCTTTTTAAATTTTCAAGTCCCACATATATAATCTTAATTCTGATTTTTACATCACTTGCATAAAATATATTTCAAATTTCTCATTGTTGAGAGTTCTAACATATTATGTGAATTTCTATTACAGTTCGAAAACGGTTATGGTAGAAGGTCACCCCCGACCAGTCCATCAGGTACGAATCCAATAGAAGATCCCTTGCAGGCAAGAATGGGTCAAAAGTTATCTTGCACGTCAAGAAGAGGTAACAGTAGTCTCGATTGGGAACCAAATCGAGAAAGGTCAACAAGAGTGAAGTCGCCGATACGAACTCTCACCGGAGAACCGAAGGACGTGCGAGATTTAGTCAGGGTACGTAAAAACTTTTATATTTTTTTTACGAAACCTTCATAAAAATACATCTTATTTTATAAAATTGTTGTAATTCAGGAACTGGAGGAAAAGGACAACGAAGTGAAACGTCAAGAGGAAGCGAGAAAGCAATTGGTATTAAAATTGTGCAACATGCAGAAGCACGCGGAGACGACGGATTACAAGTTGAAAAAACTGGAGGGTGAACACGAGAAGGCGATCAAGACGATTCAAGGTTTCATGGAGAGGCAGCAACAGCTAGAGAGCACGAAGTTGAGGAAGGAGCAGAAGATCATGGAGCTGGAAATCGAACTGAACAGGCTGCGGGAGTGCGAGAGCATGAAGTCGGGGAGGGACGGGCACAATCAGTTCGTTCGACGAGACTTCAGCACCGATATGACGGACGACCCAGAGCGTGATCCCAACAATCAGGTCGACATCATGATTTTTCGAGTCTGCATGGTTGTCTCTGCATTTCTGAAGGATCATATAGTACTCAAGTTATGTACCCTGGGCCTAAGACTGGGCGGTGTCGTTTCGAGGTTTTCGAATTCGTTCATGATCACTTAACTTCCCGTTGCTGCGGTTGAAAATTCAACACCGGTCGGAACTCGCGTCTTTAATTGATTAGCTGACGAGACTGTATGAACGTTCGCAAACGTAGAGACAACGTATTTTGGAATTGTGAAGCACATTCCGCTTTCTAACGTCGGCAAGCGATTCACGGAATAGCGTAGTATTATCAAACGTTTCTCTTTCTTTCAGAGATACTGAATTCACCTAACTTCTCGTCTTCTATTCTTTTTCTACATAATCGTCATCACCACTATCACTGCATGAATCTTATCGCCTCGGGGGTACTGTTCATTACATTTCGATATTCCTATCGACGCACTGAATATTGCGACCATCATAAATAGTTCTGCACGTATGCATAAGCACATCTAGCGTTACACGCAGTACAGACTCCTTTGAAGCTATCGAATTTAAATTTTAGATCATCCTCTTGGGGTGTTGATAGAGCATCCTTATCTTATATTTAATTACATTATTATTTAATTCACACAGTGCGAATTAGAAATTGTTGTTATTTATTGGCCGTACTTTCCCTTACGAAACAATTATTTATTTTTTACGCACAGTTTTCGTACTATTTATCCTGTTAGTGCATGGCATGTACAAAAGCTACAATTAAAAGTGTCTTTATTTTATACAATTATGTAAATGCGACACGAAACATCATTTTTTCTTTAATTCCACTAACATAATTTTTAAGTTAATAAATTTTTGTTCAATTTTTACTGCCCTATTAACAATTATTTCACAATGCCTTATGCTATAATATTATATTATTCTACCATCTGCATGCTAATTCCTTTTGAGCTATCAAACGTCGAAACATGTTTGCACCCTCAATCGTACTGTTGAACAGAAAATATTTCAAACATTTCCAATAAAATCAATTACTTATTCTATCAGTGTTTTCGACGAGTAAATTATATGTTTCGAATTGTCAAATTATCTAATTTTAGTTAAAGTTCTAACTATTAAATTAAAGATTAAAGCAAGTGTACTAATTAAAATTATTCTCGAACTTGTGATTCATCTTCTTGAAAACATGTTTCGAAAGACAAAATGTTTTCTCGATTCTCCCCCGAATATCATCCATGGACAAATCTATATATAGTTTAATTAGGCTTCAGGCCAAGGCTCCAGCTTCCAAGGGAGTTCCAAAATTTAAATTCACACCCAAGTTCATTCCACTTTGACTTCGTTTTTCGATCGCTTTCATCAGCAATTATAAAATCCAATCGCCTTCGTTACTCAATCTTGTTCTACAACCGCTTTGACTTTCTTTAGTCAGATCAATTTCGAAACGACGAAATTAGTTCTCCAATCGAGTCGCGCTTATGGTCGTCGCCTTTAAGAGTCAGTTCGCTTAATTCGGACCTTTGGAAAGTCCGCTGTTCAGCTGATGGCTGTCATCCTACGCACAAATTTCGTGCTAAACGAGCACGAATTAACGGTCTCGTTATGCGCCGAGTGCCGAGACACGAGATACGTGCTCGAATATTAGGCAAGCAAACGATTTTCGTGGAAGAGCGAGTCGAGGCGGCTCCTTCCTCGAGATACCAAACCGAAGACGTGCCTTTCGGCTAATAATAGAGGCAGTCGACTCGCGAAGTCTGCGCGATCCGCTCCCGGCTCGCAGTCTTCGCACGAAAATTCGTCTCGACCGTTCCCGACTGCCCACCGTGGTGTTCTCTTCTCCACAACGAACGACGATAACAATAAAAACGACATTCGCGGACGCGACCGCGATCGACGAATCTCGATTAGGGAACGCGGGCCCGAGATACGAACGCGCCTCGTCTCTTTATTTTTCGATTAGAACGACGAGCATCCGATAAGATTCCAAACTAAAAACGAATACAGAAAAGTGTGATTCCTTTTTTGCCCGAAGAAAACGACTCTTGACCGAGACTAGAATAGAAAAAACCGTGCGGGTTTATTCATTCATTCGAATATATTATATATATTATTTGTTTCTGAGAAACGGAACATCGAATCGAGGGAAAAAGCGACGGTTTCTCACGAGCATTTCCGGTTTTTAATTTCGGAAACGAACGATTCGGGAAGAAACGCCGCTTTCGTGCCCTTTTCCTCTTTGTCGCGGGTACTCGCCAGTGCTAGAAATAATCGTAGCATCTCTGCGTCGAGTATCTTCCAACAATCTCAATTAAACGTTAATTGATTCGAACGGGGACCGAATAAAAACGATTAAAATGTTCTCCTGTCTGTGCGCCTCGGTGAGAATGGAGGTAGGTGGGACATAACGAGTGTCGCTTCCGACGAAAATTAGCAAACGCTTAGTGTACTCCTTCATTATACGTTTTCTGTATTTATTGTAAAAAGATAAATAAATATTATGGCGTTTTGAGATCAGAGTTGATTACGATATAATTTCATTTATATAATAATTTATATTCATTGCAGTGATGAATACTTAAAGTCCGTTTTTAACGCTAGAAGTACTTTAAGTGCTTCCTTGAAAACTTTTATTACGTACATAATATTTTTTGTCATTTTCTACATAGCAATTAAAAAATCGCTTGAATGTTTCAGTTACATTA